AAGACAATATCATTTGAAATTTTTATATTATAAAATAATTAATTTTAAATATATACACATTAATATAAACCTTTAACTTATATTTTTAAAGATACACTAAAAACCTTGTTAAGTCCTCAAACTTATCTCAAAATAATATTTAAGCTCCAAAACAAAAAATGAAATAGATAAGCCATCTAACTCCACTAATAATGCAAATAAACTTTTTTCATTCATAAGTGTTCATCCTTTCAAGGTGATATTAAATATGAAATGCTGGTTGGACCATCTGTAAGAAGGATTTATTTGCCGCGTTAATAAAATTAAAAGGTTTATTGTTTTTTTTTAGTTTAGAAGTTTAAATATTATTTTGAGGTAAGTTTAGGGGTTAATAAAATTAAAAGGTTTATTGTTTTATTTTTAGTTTAGAAGTTTAAATATTATTTTGAAGTAAGTTTAGGGGTTTAAGAATGATTTTTACCTAAAGATACAGATACGCCTTGGAAAAATACATAAATGAAAATGAGGCACTGTTTTCCTCTCCATCATTTGCACAGTGCCAATTCAGTCATTCACGTCCTTTTCCACATAAGCCAAGTGGATTTTGTCCTTGATTTTTCTTTTTGCACCCATATAATGCATTGTGACGGGTGAACCAGATACCATACGCAGCACCAATATTTATATATTTTTCCATTTCCATTTCCACGCTTCTCCATCCTATCTATTCGATTGTGGTGCCGGAATCCTTAATGCGCCAGTGAAACTCTTGGAGCACATTTCCAGTTCCAGCAGCTGAGATTGGCTTTTTCACGGCTGCCGGCGCCTGCCTGCTGCAACTACAAAACTCCCAACTCTACCGCGCCTCGCGTTGACGTGACTTTCGAGTTTCCACTACTCTCTGCAGGTAAGTATCTGCGCCAGACAGGATTTTGTGTCCTTTTGCTGATTTTGTTTACCTCCTTTTTCTGTTTTTCAAAAGTTTTTGTTCTTTTTAGTCCTTTTTTTCCTCTACTTTTAAATTTCGCAATAATAATGTTCCTAATATTTCTACATTTGTATCGACTGGACAAAGAGAAACCTTTCCTTATCTTTTCTCTAAATTTTTAATCAATGATTAGCTGAAATAATTACATTCATTGTTGTACTTTTGTATCGACTGGACAAAGTGAAACCTTTCCTTATCTTTTCTCTAAATTTTTAATCAATGATTAACTGAAATAATTACATTCATTGA